CTTGAGATCACAAAGACTTTTCTTCTGGAAGTTTTATAGTTGCAGGAGTTATTTTTCACATGTGCCATAAGGTGTCGAGTTCCTTTCTCTCCCCTGCCCCCATGCTGATATTTGGTTGTTTATCACCATTTACTGAAAAGATTGTCCTTTTGCCTGTTGAATTCCTTGGCACTCTTGTCAAAAATCAGTTGTCCACACCTGTCTGAGAACTTGGGCTCAACCTCAGTTAAGCTTTGTTTTGACTCTTTATGCCAATATCGCTGTAACGGTATAGTAAGTTTTGCAGTTGGTCACTGAGTTCTCCAGCTTTCAAAATTCTTTGGGCGGCTTCTAAGTGCTTTGTCTGTCCATATACATTTTAGAATCTTCCTGAAGTTTTTGCTTGGGACTGCACTGAATTTACAGAGCATGGTGGGCCATATTGACGTCCTAACTTGTTAAATCCTTCATTTCTTTGGTTCTTCAGTGTTCATTTGGGGAACATATTTTGTAAACATTTTCCTTAAGAATTTCATGGTTTGTGATGCTATTATAAATGGTCTGTTTTTTAAAAACATTGCCATATATTTATATAGAAACAACAAAATACAATTGATTTTTGTTACATTGACCTTTTATCCTGCAACCTTGTTAATTTTACTTATTAGTACAGTAGCTTTTCTGAAGATTCCAGAGGATTTTCTGATTGGGTTGTAGGAATTTTAGCTTCTAGGCAAAGGTGTTTAAAGTGTTTCCAACACATTTTTATGTACAATGACAAGATGTTTGTTGAAATTTCATCATTTTTCTTTTTGAATCTTCAAAGCAATGATTGATAATAGTATTTTAGCCCTGACCAAGGGTGGCTCAGGGTCACTGGTTCGATTCCCGGCCAGGGCACATGCCTGGGTTTCAGGTTTGATCCATCCCCGGCTGGGCGCTTGAGAGGCAACCAATTGATGTTTCTCTCGCCCACTGATGTTTCATTCCCTCTCTTCCTCCCTCCCTTCCCCTGTCTCTAAAAATAAATAAATAAAACCTAAAAATGATCATAGTATTTTATACGCATATTTTTATAAACTAATGAATGTGAGCTTTTCATGTATTTTAAAATATTTGCTTTCTTGGTTTCCTCTTTTTTTCACTAACATGAAAGGCTCTCCACGTGTGTCCTAAGGGCTCTGTGTGCTGTAAGCGCCCCCCCCCGCCCCGCCCCGCCCCGCGCCGCGTGAGTGGTGTGCGCCTGCTCCTGCCTCGTTGGTCTCTGTCTCCCTCATTGCTCCTCTGTTGATGTGGGTATTTATAACTTTTCTGTGAACATCTGCCCATTGCTCTTCATATGGTCCCCTCTCTATTTTTAATCTGATAGTCATTTTTTCCTTTTGATATGTTAGGATTTTTATATTTATAATAGTTGTGATCAAGGATCAGAGTCTAGTTTTATTTCTGAATAGTCAACCAACTATATCAGATAAAAGTCATCTCTTTCTCTAATAATTATTAGGGCTGCATTTTTCCTTGTAGACTAAACTTTTACGTGTACCAAATTTGGTTTCTGGACTTTTACTTTTCTTTTGCATTGGTCTGTTTTTGTTCTAAAACCATATTTCTGATTGTGAAGCTTTTTAATCAAAATTGTAACCGTTCTAATTTGTTAAATACTTTCTTGCAGTTTGCCCTATACTGCTGATATTGCTGATTAATGAGGTATATCTACAATTTAAAACAAACTGGTTAAAAAAACAGAAAAAGCAACCTATTAGAAAATAGAAAAATGAGCAAAGACTGTGAACAAGGGTCTCAAAGAAGAAAACCCCTGTTGGCTGATAAGCCCATAAAGGGGCTCTCACTGAGGAAGGGGTGGCTCGGGGACCGCCGCCACTGCATTCCCGCCCGGGGCGGCACTGTAGGCCTGGGACAGCCCCAGTGGGCAGGGACACCAACAGCAAAGCACAGCCGGCCTGAGTTCCCTTGGTGGGGGGGTGATAGGCATTTAGTAGGAGCCATGCTTCAAATGAGGCATTTAGATGTTTTTCTGGGCAAGCCATGTGCAGAAGGATGCGCGCGCTCTCGTGGTGCTGGGAAGCACAGTGAGCGCAGCCGGTCAGCCACACGAGCCCCCAGGGTCAGCAGCCCGTGCTCCACAGTATGGTATTACATGCATTTTCGACTTTTCAACAAACAACGGTTTGTTGGCATATAAAACCCTGTCTGGGTCGAGAAACATCTGTACCGGGTGAAATCTAAACATTATTGACAAGAGTGGTAAAGTCACCACACTCTGAAATCCTACACATCAGTTTAGGTCAATGAACTGGACCTATGTAGATGTACATAAATAAACCTTAAACAGAAAGTTCAACATTTAAAAACACACAAAACTGCCGTGGCATCATTTCAAGCTACACTCAGAAGTAGCTGGAGTCTTAAAGACATGCACTGAATAGACACGCCAGTCCATCGGCAGCCTCCGCCCGGGAGGGTCAGGGGGTGGGCCTGAGGGCAGGAGAGGCTCAGAGACCAGCCACGGGCATCTGCTGCCCTTCCGAAGAGAACCAGAGGCAAAGGCTGTAACCTGCTTATACATTTCATATCTTAGAGACGGGTGCATGAGGATTTTGTTTCAATTAGGGCGAGTCTTCAGACGCTGGGGAAAGGCATGAGGAAGAAACCTGACGCGTGATTCTACCAGTGTGTTCTCCACCCTTTTACACACACCTTTGCCTACGTCCCTGATGATTTCCTTAGGAAAATGTCCTGGAAATGGAATTACTGAGTCCCAGCGTGTACTTCTGTTGCTTTCTCCCAAAATGGCCAGAAATTTCCCCAAGGACCCAGGGGGGCATTACACTTAATCTCATTTTGTCGTGATGGGAAGCATATGACTGTTGTCACATGAACGTGACTATTGAATTTCACTTGTATACCTGATGATTGACATTCAAGGACCCAGTTTATGTTTAGCAAGATTTCTAGGGCCCATCAGTCGGCTTTGACCCAGCACTTTCCCGTCCTGACTCCTTGCCAGAGTCACCTGTGGAGGTCTTCCTAATTCTTTTCCTTGAAGAGGTAATACTGCTTCATAGTTCAAAAGACACTGAATGGTCTTACTGACCCCATGTTGACTTGGTCTGATGTAGAGCAGTTTCTAGACCATTGTGTCACATGGGGCCGTAGAAGACTCGTGCAGACACTTGTCGGTAACGCACTGCGATGCCTGCAAGTCCCCCGTGGCACGGGGGCGCGAAACATGCCCACCGTCCGGCCCGAGAGGCCCGAGAGACGGGAATCGGCGGGCCTGGCTGAGGGGCCCGTGCCCCTTGTGCTCGTAGTTCTGCTCTCTGTGGCCTCGGGAGGCTGTGGAAGGAAGTGTGTGTGGGGAGGACTGGCCGCGGCCCCGGGATCAGCTGCTGAAGGCTGTCCTTTCCCCACCCTGCCCCCGACATACACCTGATCCCCGCCCCTGCACAGCGATCAGGTAACTGGCGATGGTCTAGAGCAGTGACTTTCAACCTTTGCCACCTCAGGGCACACACAGAAACTAATTACGAATTTCTGCGGCACACGAGAAAAACAGTTTTTTGCTGACCTAACAAAAAAAAAGTACAATTTTTTATTCATTTACACCGGATCGCTATTGTTACTTTGGCTGTTGCCATTTTTTTATTTGACAGTCTGAGAGAAAAGAGGTCCGTGCCCCTGACTTAGTCAGATGTTGCATGTTTTAAAAATTTGTGTAGCACCCCGGTTGAAAATCGCTGGTCTGGAGTTAGGCAGCTATGAGGACATATATTTACAATATTATGAACTTTTTAATTTTTTAGAGAGATTTATTTTACAATACTATATGGGTTGTGCTTTCCTCCCCAAATTTTATTTTGAAGTCCTTTCTAGTGGACTGTATAAAGGAATTTTTATAACCCAAAATGGAATTTTATTTTAAATGCTTTTTAATTGCAGAAGGTGGGTGCCTCATTGAGCCAGTGTCCAGTGAACGTGCATGCAGACAGTTCCTCCAGCCATATACATATTTAGTGACACACACTCAGTGACACGCTTGGTAGAGATGTACTGTGTGTCCCTGTTCTTCTGGGGTTGGTCAGTATGAACGGAAACGCCAGCTAGACCAGTTCTCCGTCCTTCACATCTCCCTTCTCCCAAATAGCCTTTCAAATAATCAAGCCTCCAGATTAATTTTTAATGGCATCTTTTGTTATCATCCATCTATTGTCACATTACTAATATTTACAGAAAGTTTTGAGATCCTGATAACTTCACGCTTCAATGGGTAAAGATCTGTTTTAATTCTGTAAAGGACTTCTTTATTTTTAGGATCTCCTGGTGTTATATGGATGTGCCACCATTTTTTAAATTAAAATTCATTTGACACATTCCCATGGTGTATGACTCAAAAGTGCAGAGAAGTCTCACCGCAGGTCCCACCGCCAAGCTGCCGGCCGTTCTGCCCGCCGGGCGACCCAGGGCCCCTGGTGCACAGGTGCTTTCCCTGTGGCCCAGGCCTCAGAGGGCCTCCTCCTCGGTGCGGAGAGGCCCGCGCTCCTGCCCTCTTCCCGTAGGAGTTCGCTCAGCCTGGCAGGATGTCCTGGGCTTAGTCACTGCCCTGAAGATGGACAGAAGGCTCGTCCCCAGTCTCTGCTCTCTGTGGTCGTCGATGCAGCCATGCGGGGCTCGTACAGACCAACTCTAGAAATAGAGCGGTGCCACACCCACAGAGCGCGCCGGTGGGGTGAGGGCCGCAGTCCTCGCTGCCGGCCTGGGACTGTGCACGCGCCGGGCCCGCACTGAGCCGCATGGCCTGTTTCGCACACTCCTGGCCGCTGGCGAGTCCCCGCGGCTCAGATTCGGCCAAACACGGTAGGAACGAGGTGGATCCCAGGCGAAAGCCCGGGCGCAGCCCGCGGCTCAGAGCGCTCCCTTCCTCGCGCACACCGTGGAGCGTGCATGCCTTCAGCCCCTACTTGTCCCTGGACTGAGGTGTCCCTGTTCTCTTGTGGTTTCAGAAGCGGGTTTCTCCTTTCGAGGACATGATCTTCTGCTTCTCGGAAGAGGACTGGTCCCTTCTAGATCCTGCCCAGACAGGCTTCTATGGGGAGTTTATCATCGGAGAGGACTGTGGGGTCTCGCTCCCTCCAAGTAAGTTGTCCTTTGGCCCTCTTCTGAGACCAGGGAAAAGGGGTGGGGGGCAGCATATGATCTTGCTCTGCACCCTGCTCCGCTGATGCGCAGTCGCCTGTACTCAGTGACCCTGAGTGCACTTAGCAGAGGGGCGCTTGTCTGCCGCCGGCACGTGTGCATTAGGCTTGCTGGCTGCTCTGCATACAAAGCCAAATGTAACAGGTTCCTCTGCATGGCTGTTGTAGCGCTCTGACCCTGCGCCTCTTCCCTTGTGGCCCCCTAATGTGCGGGCCCAGCAGAGCTGCCCCAAACCCTGCCGGCTTCAGCCTTCCTGCATCTCTGCAGCCCTGCATGGCTCTCTCGCTGCTGTAGCCTGTCCTGGGTCCCTCCAGGTCACTGAGGAAGGTGTGTCCTCCCCTTTTCTGTGAACAGATGACCCAGCAGCCCAGGTGGACCTCTCCCAGGGGGAGGAGAATGAGCCACGTGTTCCAGAGCTGCAGGACCTGCAGGGGAAGGAGGCTACCCAGGTCTCCCACTTGGGTGAGTCATGATTCCACCACTGGGTGGACAGAGTGGGGTGCAGGTGCTGCTGGCCACAGGTGGGCCACTCCCTGCCATCTCTCTGTGTCCCTCTGTACACCCAGACTGTGTCTTGGTAGAACACATCTTTGCCTCCTCCTGATTCCTCACAGAAAGAATGGAGGTTTTTATTTTGCCGGGTCTGGGGATTGCAGTCCCTCAACCAGGGACCAGGGCACCATGGGAATACCTTTGTCCTCTGCTGTAAGTAGTGCCTGGGCTGTGTCGGCCAGTCCGTGGCCCCTCCTAGAGTGAGGTCCTGCCCTTCAGGGAGAGGAGGAGGACCAGGCCCAGGACCTCGAGGTGTCTCAGCCTCTAGTCCCTCCACCAGTGCTGCAGGCGAGGAGGCTGAGGCACGGGTGCTGGGGCCCGGCCGGCGGCATCTCCCAGTCCTCCTGTCCTGGGCTCTGTGCCAGCAGGACTGAAGTTTCCACCACTGTGCCATGATACCTTGAGACACTGCCCCGTCAAGACAAAAGCTTTGTGGGGCAGCAGCGGCAGCCCACATCCCTCCCCCTACAGGACCCGCAGCCAGCACAGTTCAGCCAGGCGGGGCTCCCACCTCCCCTGGGATTGGCACACGGCCTCTCTGGGGCCAGCTCCCTGCCCTGTCCGCCCCAGCAGGCTCTGCAGGCTGCACCGTGCCGAGGGCCCCGGGACCTGAGAAACCACCAGAGAGGTGGAGGTGACCGTCAGGATGGCAGGCACTCATTCAGTCATGTAGATGGGACCGAGCCGGGACCCACGCTGATTCCGTGTAGCTTCAGAACCCCTGTTTGTGGTGGTGGCTGTTTGTCTACAAATTCACTTTATCGACAAACACTGACCGAGGGGCTGCCCGTGGGTCACGGCCTGGCATCTGTTAGGAGGCCCCCCAGGCAGCTGCACAACAAATCCACTTTTCCATTTTTCTCGGGAAAGACTTTCCAAGTCTCCAGCCGATCCTGGTCGAAGAAAGAGGGAGGCGGGAGGAGCTGCAGGTGCCAGAGCTCCAGGCCTGCCAGCAGACAGCGCTTGCTCAGAGCACCTGCCCAGGTAAGGAAGGCCTGGGGAGGCATGAGCGCGCCTGTGTGTGCGGTGTGTATGTGAGCACATGATGTGTGTACATGTGCATGTGCAGGCATGCAGTGATGGCAAGTGGGGTGTGTGTGCATCTGTGTGCTGTGTGGCGGATTGCATGTGTGTGGTGTGTGTGCATTTTGTGTGTGTATAGTATGGAAGTCTGCACATGTGTGGCATGTGCATGCACGTTTGCTGTTGGGGGTGGGTCAGGGATTAAACTCTAAGGTCCCTGCCAACCCACTGATTGCCAGCGGAAAGTGCTGGTTCCCTTTTGCTAGTGTCTGTCCCAGCTGAGCTCCTGCCTAAGGCCCTCCCCGGTGGCGTCCCCCGCAGGCCGAAGGTGTGCTGTGGCACTGCTGGCCACACAGGAGTGTGCTTCTTCCCCAAGCACAGGGCCAGAGTCCTGGGCCGAGCCTTGGACCGAAGCGCAGGGTTGCGGACCTCAAGGTGAAGAGACTCTGGAGAATGCGTGCCTCACCTGCCCTTGCGTGTGGCCCACATTTGCACTCCGAGTCATGTTAGCAAAAGTCACCACCTCCAGAGGCAGAGACTGAAATGTAGCATCTTTAATGTCCTTGGGGTTCAGGAGTTCTTCCAAACGCCAAACCTGAGTCTCTTGTTCTTTATTTTTTCTTCTTTTTTTCCTGGTCTTTCTTTAAAGATTTTATTTATTTTTAGAGAGAGGGGGAGGTAGGGAGAAAAAGACAGAGAGAAATATTGAAGTGTGGTTGCCTCTCGCACACCCCCTACTGGGGACCTGACCTGCAACCCAGGCATGTGCCCTGACTAGGAATCGAACCGGCAAACTTCTGGTTTGCAGGCCCGTGCTCAATCCACTGAGCTACGTGAGCCAGGGCTTCTTTCTATTTTTTAAAAAATTCCGGTTGACATAAAATACTAGTCTCTGGCTCTTACTTGAACCCACCATGTCATGGAAACTGTCCACAGCTATGGGGACTGACTCACACACAGTCTGCTTTACCCGAGATGCCTTTGGAGCAAGATTTGTCTGGTATTGTGGTGATTGCAGCTAGCACTATGCAGGGCTTGGTGCCGTTTCTCCTCACCCCATCAGGTGTAGACAAATGGGTTTTATGGTTACAACAGATCCAGAAGGAAGACAGCCGCTCCCCACACGCGTGGAGCTCCCCGACCACTGGTTTCCTGAGGTGCCTGCTGCAGGCAGAGCAGCCTGGACGCATGCTTGCTGCCTGCTGCCTGGCGCCGCTGCGCACTTGGGGCCCTTTCCGCCCTCTCCGGCCCCTGCCTGCCCACAGCAGCCTCAGGCCAGACAGGGTGAGCGGCTATTACCCAGGGGCTTTGGGCCGCTCTCTCCCTTCCTGGGCTCTGACACAGAATCCGCTCTGAAATGTCCAGAGGCCCAGGTTGCCTGAGGACAGGAGAGACTGTGTCAGAGAATGGGCACTGTTTTCATTCGGGGAGCTCCTGCCACGCCCTCTGGCGGCAGCTGAGGGGTCCCTGTCCCTGCCTCTGTGCGGCCTCGTGCCGGACGGCCCGCGCTGTCTGTCGGTACCACGCCGACCAGCATTAGAACGCTGCCCTGGATTGGTTTCCCCGTGGATCAGGTAGTTATTACTGTTTAGTTCTGTTTCTGTTTCTCCCTCTTCCTTCTACACTCTGCATAAGCTCTGTTTGCAACCCAGCCCCAGGGTGGGGTCCTCCTCACGGGATTCTGAGCACCGTGTCCGTCCTCTGAGGCAGCTACTGTCTCCCTCCGCCGGCTCGCAGAGCAAAAGCCATCGACAGGGCGGCTGCCACAGTGCGTTTCTCTCCCACAGCGTGGAGGCGGCCAAGCCGAGGCCGCGGCCGCAGCAGAGTCCGCACGGGGTGCTCTCTGCCTGGCTGCAGATGGCGGCCTGCGCTCCCCGCGCTCGCCGGGCCTTGTCCCAGTGCGTCCTGTTGCGGGGAGGGCTCACTCCTCACTTTCGTCCTCACTCCTCATGTTCTTCAGCTTTCACAAGTGTCTCACCCTAAATACCGCCCGGAGGCCCCGCCTCCTAATACCCCCTCCGTGGGACGGGGCTCCAACCTGCACGTTTGGGGGGATACAAACACTCAGCCACGGCCCGTGCTCTGCTTCCCCCGTGCTCCCGTGGGGGTCAGCCTGCCGGGCCGCGGAGCCCAGTGCGGTGTCAGGCCGCAGGCCTGGACCTGAGTCTACCTACTGAGCCATAGTTTGCATTTTCTGTGCAATCAAAATTGTGGGTTTGAGTCTGTTGCTTCTTATTTGCTCATAGTTCCTCCCATTTTTCTTTTTTTTAATTTCATGGGTTTCAGCACATTTGTTTTTCACAGTTTTAAAATGTAATACATTTATTCATCTCCTTTTTGGTTTTATGTCTTGCAGGAAAGCTGTGTTTTTTATAATGTCTTTGTCTCGTTTTACCCCCTCTGGCTTCCTGTCCTCCCTGCTTCTCTCCTCCGCCCCTCGAGCTCCGGAGGAGCATCCGTCGCCCCTTCCCAGCCCACAATGCAGGGTGGGAGGGGTTGCTGTCCTTGAGGAGCTCGCCGCCAGCCTGGCACGAGCGCAGCCCAGCTCGCACAGCACTGCCACGGGCTTCGGCGTCCCCAGTCCCGATGGAGCTCAGTTCCCCTCCCAGCCAGGGCAACCTCTCTCTCTCTTAGATTTTCTCCTGGAAAACAGAAATAGGAGTCAGAGCCTTGTATGGTTATTGTTGATCACATGATTGGTTTGTTTGATTGTTTTTAAGATTTTATTTATTTTTTAAATATTTTATTTATTTATTTTAAGAGAGGGGAAGGGAGGGACAAAGAGAGGGAAAGAAACATCAGTGTGCGGTTGCCTCTAGCACACCCTCTACTGGGGACCTGGCCCAGAACTCAGGCATGTGCCCTGACTGGGAAGCAAACTGGTGACCTTTTGGTTTGCAGGCCGGCACTCAGTCCACTGAGCTACACCAGCCAGGGCTATTTATTTATTTTTAGGGAGAAGGGAAGGGAAGGAGAAGGAGAGGGAGAGAAACATGATGTGTGAGAGATACATCAATCGGTTGCCTCTCGCACATGCCCAATGGGGCACCAGGCCCGCAACCCAGGCGTGTGCCCTGACTGGGAATTGAACTGGCAGCGCTTTGGTCTTCAGGCTGTGCTCAGTCCACTGAGCCACACAAGCCAGGGAAGATTACACAATTTAATTGATATGCAAGCACACAGTCAGACTAGAACTCTTCACCGTTTCCCTGTTATCCTAACAGCCAGTTCAGGGGACTCCCCCACCACCCTGCACACCCCGTCTGCACTCCTCACTGCTGAGCTGAGGCTCCCTTACTCTGCGCTTTCGCTGGAGTTTCGGGAACAGCTCTGAATCCGACCTCATCTGGTAGGAATTACTAGCATTGTGTGTGGATGCCCAGGGGGGCACTAGTGGTTAGTTGTGCCCTATTAGAACCTCGGCGTTGATTCTTGGCCACATTAGCCGATTGGAGGGAGTGGCATCCCATACGTACTCTGTCAGTCCCCTGGGGCTGCCATAGCGGAGCGCCGCAGACTGCGGGGCTCGAACAACAGGAGCTGTTTTCCTCGCAATTCTGGAGGCTGGAGCTCTGAGATCCAGGGGTCAGGAGTAGGTGTGGGGTCGCTCTCCTGCAGCCTCTCTTGGCCTGTAGATGGCCAGCCGTCTTGTGCCTGTGCTTCCACATGGCTGTCTCCTTGCATGCCTGTGTCCTAATCTCCTCTTGTAAGGATGCCAGGTGGATTAGGCCCCACCCTAAAGACCTCATTTTAACTTAATTACCTCTGAAAGGCCTTAACTCCAAATATGCTCTTTGGGTGTATGGGTTTATGACTTAAGCACGTAAGAATCTTTAGTGGGTGTGCCCTGGCTGGTGTGGCTCAGTGGGCTGAGTGCTGGCCTGAGAACCAAAGGGTCGCTGGTTTGATTCCCAGTGCAGGTCACAGGCCTGGGGTGCAGGCCAGGTCCCCAGCAGGGGGCGTGCAAGAGGCAACCACACACTGATGTTTCTCTCCCTCTCTTTCTCCCTTCCCCCCTCTACAAATAAATAACATCTTTAAAAAAAAAAATTAAGACCCTTAGGGGCTGTAATTTTGCCCTTAACACTTAACCCTCTGGTCCCCCAACCCTTCTTCCAGCATACACAGCCCCCAACATCAGCCTATCCCAGCGTCAACTCTAAGGGACCTTCTCATTGCTTTCCTGCAGCCGGAGGTGACTCAGTGCCCCCCAGGGACAGCCTGGATGAGGAGGTAACCATTGAGATCGTCCTATCCAGCTCTGGGGACGAGGACTCCCAGCTGGGCCCCTACTGCACGGATGAGCCGCGGAGCCCGGCCAGGAAGCAGCGTGGCGCCCCCACCCCGCAGCAGAACGGCGCCCCGGTTGGGGGCGAGGTGCACACCTCAGGGAAGTCCTATGTGTGCCCCAACTGCGGGAAGGTCTTCCGCTGGAGGGTCAATTTCATCCGGCATCTGCGCAGCCGCAGGGAGCAGGAGAAACTACACGAGTGCTCGGTGTGTGGGGAGCTCTTCAGTGACAGTGAGGACCTGGATGGGCACCTGGAGGCCCACGAGGCCCAGAAACCTTTCAGGTGCGGCGCCTGCGGGAAGAGCTTCCGCCTCAACTCCCACCTGCTCTGTCACAGGCGGGTCCACCTGGCGTCCCCTGGACCCCGACCGGTGATGGGGAGTGAGCAGGGGGCGGCGGCGCCCGACGCACCAATGGCCGAGGGCCGCGCCCGGCTGAGCGCCCAGTGCTGTGACTGCGGGAAGCTGTTCCAGCGGCCCGAACACCTGGCGCGGCACCGCAGCAGCGTGCACGGCAAGGACCGGGCGCGGCCCTTCCGGTGTCGGTACTGCGTCAAAAGCTTCCTGCACAACTCCGACCTCCTGCGCCACCAGCGCCTGCACATGAAGCGCCGCTCCAAGCAGGCGCTCAACTCCTACTGACGGACGGACGCCAGGCCCTCCCAGGACAGGACGGACCTGCCCCAGGACACACCTCATCCTCCGGCCCTTTGCTCTCAGGTAGAAATGAGATAGTGGCCAACTGAGCATTTCTTCTGGCTCTGCTGTGCCAAAAAGCAGGGAGCGAGGCGCGTTACCAGCTTGGATTAGCCCGCCCTCTCTGGGTTCCAGAGAGCCGCCTCCAGTGCTTCCTGAGCGGCTGCGGGACCCGGCCGGTCCCGCTGCAGTCACCCCTCGGGGTCTGTCACTTGCCACAACTCGCTTCATCGCCATGCGGCCCTGTTTGAACCCCCGTCCCCATCCCGAGGTTCCAGGGTAACCACTTCCCATCTGAGAGCAAGAAGCTGTGGGCAGGTGATGGCTAGAGAGGCGCTGGGGAGCCGGGTGCAGCCCAGCAGGCCCTGGTCCTGCTGGCGCGAGGAGCACCCGCAGGCCTCTCAGGGCCGGGGGCACGGGTGCTGTGAGCTCTGGCAGGGGAGCTGTGTCCCACTTTTATTTGTGATGGCAGCTGCTCATTAGAGGTTGCGAGCTCCCCGAGGGCAGTAACCCCTACTTTTAAGCTGTATGTGCACACCCTGCCCAACGTCATTCTGTGTGCCCTGAAGGTCCCGGCAAATGGTGTGGGGTGGAAGCAGTTGTCACCGTGTGAGAGGCACTTACGTTCCCCGGCCTGGGCCACTGTGTCGGGGAACGGGGAGCTCAGCCCAGTGATGGCTTCTGTTGTCCTCGCGAGGGGTTGTGGGGAGCAGCCGCCCGCGAGGTCAAGCTCTGCATACACAGTAATGTAGCTGCTGTTCGAATTCCTTTGCTAGGGCTGCCTTAACAAAGGACCAAAAACAGGGTGGCTTAGGACCACAGAAATGTATTGCCTCAGCTCTGGATGCTGAAAGTCCAAGGTCAAGGCGGGCAGGTTGGTTCCCTGTGAGGGAGGGGTGGTCCTACGCCTCTGACGGCTGCCGGCAGTCCGTGTTCCCTGAAGAGCATCACCCCACTTCTGCCTTCATCTTCACGTGGTGTCCCTGTGTACATATCTGTCTCCAAATTTCCCCTTTTCATAAGGACACTCGTCACATTGGACAGGGCACCCCTGCCTCCTCCGGTGTGTTCCTGCCTTAACTGGTAACATCTGCAGTGACCGAATTTCTGAGAAAGGCTGTGTTCTGATGCACCGGGGTTGGGACGTGGATATGAATTTAGGGCGGCAGGGAGACAGTTCAGTCTACAGCACCAGATAGCCTTGTGACACTGCTCATCCCTGATGGACAGGTGAATCAACAGAATCTCGAGTTGGCTCGCTCTCCATCCCAGTGGAAGCAGCAGGGCCTTGCAAATCCATGGCCTGGAGACCTGGAGGCCTGGGTTGGGAGGGACTAGTGAGAGTGTGACCGCCAGCCACGGAACCGTGGTCCTGTTCCTGGAGGCCTGGCTGCGCTGGCCAGGCCCAGCGTCAGGAAAGCACAGAGGCTGCGCTGTGGTGGGCGAGCAGAGCCACCAGGTGTGCATTTTGTGTTATTTGTATGTCATGTCCGTCGGCAGGCAGCCAGACTGCTTGTCACCCATGTCATTGTCACACTGAGATGCCACTGCCACAAGCCCAGTGGAAGAGCCACAGGGTTTTCTAATTCTGATTACTGTGCCTGTGTAGATGCACCTACACGCTGAGGAGCAGTAAATGCAATAACACTTAGGTCATACCCTGAACAAGAAATAAACATGGGGGCTCATCGTTTTAAATAGTTGGCCTCTTTTATTGATTACCAGAGGGGGAAATCCCGGTGGGAGTCAGGCTCTGCATTGGCCCGCCCTCCTGCACTCACCCCAGAGCTCGGCAGCCGGAAGGTGGTCGGTCGTCCATCTGCCTCAGGCGTTTGTCTCACGGAGGAACACTGCTCTACTCACTGTTGTGTCTCACCTGCAAAACCAGATCCTACATAAGAACAGCAAAGGGGCGGTAACTGCGTCTCGGGTGGGGAGCCCCCTGCGCTCAGCCAACACCATGGTGCCTACCTCGTCGGAAGGTCGTATCACTTAGGATCCAGAAGCCCTCGTGGGTGATTTTGCTCAAATCCCCGCTTGGCCTGTTCAGAAGAAGCCAGTGGAGTCACCTGCATTCGGAACGGGTCCTCTAGATGTCAGCACTGACCACCTGCTCCCTCCCCGGGAGGAGGGCAGGCAGGTGAGCTGCGTCTCCACCTGCCATGGAAGCACAGACCCACGTCTGAGAAGCACCCACCCTCCCTGTTCCTCCGAGCCCTTGGCATTGTTGCCACAGCTCACAGGTACATAATAAAAGTGCACCCACTGAACTAACATTCATGTCAGACATTCTATTATTTTTGTTTAAAAAGTGATGTGCAGCCCTGGTTGGTGTGGCTCAGCAGGTTGAGTGTCGTCCTGCAGAGCGAAAGGTCGCTAGTTAGGTTACTGGTCAGGGCACATGCCAGGGTTGCTGGCCAGGTCCTCAGTAGGGGGCATGTGAGAGGCAACTGATAGATGTTTTCCTCTCTCCCTCCCTTCCCCTTACTCTAAAAATGATTTTTAAAAAGTCTTTTTTAAAAAAGCGATGTGCAGCGCAGCTAAGAGAGGAGGTTGGTCTGACGAGGAGGGCTTGAGGTGTAAGGATGCTGCAAACGATCCTCACCAGACATCACCCTGTGACACACTCAGTCCTCAGAGAAAGGGTTCTGGTCGCCTGAGCAGAGCCCTGTCCAGAGGAGAGGGGGAGTAACTGCTCCCGGGGATATCTTCCACTCCCAGTCACACCGCTGCTCACCAGCCCCGCCTCGTCTGTTACCCCGTCGCCTGCCTCCCTAGCTCTGACGTGGCCAGGTGGTGGGTGGTCTCTTGCCGTTTCTCACTCACATCATGGCTGATGGAAGGGAAAGCAGGAGTCCGTGCCCACCTTGGAGATGAGTTCGTGTGACTTTCATCCCAGAAGATGGCTTTCTCTCTGCCAAAAGCGGAGTTCAGACCAGGCCCAAACGCATCTACTTGCGGTGTAAGGTAGGGGATTCGATGATACGCTGCTCATCTGGTCAAAATAGGAGGGGGCTGGGATACCTGCCCTGAAAATGTTGCAGGTCAGAAAAGGCACAGCTAGGAGCCAGGGCAGGTCGATCCCATCCAGATTAAGGGGAAGCCCCTTCGAACGTGTCTGCTCGGAGAAGACACAGGCCTGCCTCCAGCCCACTGAAGGCAATGAAATTCAGAGTGAGATTTCTGGATATTTTTAAGTGTTTTCCCAGAAGATTGAGTGGGAAAGAGTATAAACTCATGGAAATCAGATGCACTTTGCATCTTCAGCAAACGCTGGCCCGTCCCGTTGTGCCGAGAACAGCTGGGCCACATTTATCTTGGCCTCCCTTTTGGTCGTTCATGTTTTTCTAAAATGGCTTGGCTAATGCCGGGATGATATCCTTTGGCCATGATCTAAAGCCTTCACTAGCAACTTCTTTAACTGTCTGTGCTCAGGAAGCCCAAAGCCTAAGCCACCAGGACGGGAGCCCAGGGGCCCAGGGCCCTGGAGGCAGGCTCCGGTCCCTGCGGGGGCTTTCACAAGCTGCTGGTGGTAACAGCGGAGGCCTCTGGCTTGTGCGCCCTCTGTTTTATGAGAAAGTGTTAGGCAGGTGGCAGGCGGGCGGTCCTGGGGCTCAGAGGGTGAGCGCAGACCCGTGTTGTCTTCAGGAGGAGATACCTGGCGCATCTCCATGCTTTCTCCACTGCTAACCACGAGGACAGAGACTCCTTATGTCCCTCTGTTCACAAAGTCCATTCAAAGTCTGACACAAAACAGGACTTGGCTCTGTGCTGCAGAAAGCACACCTCGTCACGTCTGCCTTCCTGTGAGATACCAACTCCCGTGGGGCAGGGCCTCGGCGGCCGGCTTGCCAGGGGCCAAGCAAAGCCTGCGCTGTGCTCTTGCCAGCACTCGACACCCGCTGCATGTCCAGCGACTCAGTTCCATCCTGACACTGAGGGCCTGAGGTGAGCGTTGGATCCCGCGAGCCTACACGAGATGTCCCACTTCAGACACCAGTTAAGAATCTCGGGGGCCACTCAGATTAATGCTGGCTGGCCCCAAACGGGGGATCCAAAGACCCCTCAGGTTTGACTTTCCTATGACTTCAGTGACTCATGGGAATGTTACCCTAATGGTTGGTTTTTATTATAAAGGATAAAATTGAGGAACCACAAAGTAGAAGGGGTGCACAGGGTGAGGTCAGGGAGGGGTCCAAATGCAGAGCCCTGCGCCTTCCTGTGGGTCAGGGTGCGGCCGCTCACGGCCCAACTCACCCATTGCCCTGGGCTGAGCTGAGCTGCCCAGAATTCTCACCACATTTCATGACGATACCCCACGTGGTCATCCTGTCTCCAGTCTCCGGCCGCCCTGGCTCCCCTCTGCTCCCCAGAGGCTGGCCTGGCACAAAGTCCCAACCTTCTAATCATGAACGTGGACTTTCTGGTGATCAGCCCTCCATCCTACTCCCCATGGGCCACCTCCTTAGCATAACAAAGACACTCTGGAAATCTCAAGGGTTCTTGAAGTTTGCCAGGAACCAGAGACAAAGACCAGATAAATTCTTTATTGTGCTGTCCTGACTTCAGAGAGGGCACAGGGTGCTCGCCCCACGCCGCTCCAAGGGCGCAGCTGTGGCCGTCCGTCCTGTTCCCCCTTTGCCTTTCTGTGCTGGTGTCAGCCGCCAGGGCTTGCTCACTTAAGAACGTCTCAGAAATGCTGTGGCATCCAAAGCCAGTGGCACTGAAAGCCCAGTGGGGACTGTGCTGACCCTGGAATGGGAGTTTCCTGGGAACACCTGCCCTAATGATCCTTTTGACAAGCTGTGGTTTGGGGCTGCTAAGGAAATTACGTAATTACAGACTAGGAGAACAAAGCAGCCTTTGTTACTAGGATTTAAGTCAACGACGGGGGACACCTCCTCAAGGACACATGGCTTCCTATCCCAGGCACTCGATGCATGCGCACAGCAGGGCCCACAGGGCCGCTTCCGACTCGTGTCCAGACAGCTGCAGGCGCCAGTCCGGCACTGGGAGGAACATGTGCAGGTGTGTCCCGGGCCCAAAGCCCATGCGCTTGCTGTTTCGAAAGGGCACAACTCAGAGCACCTGAGTCTGCAGTAAGGAAAGTGGTATTGATTGAGAAGACGGGAGTCTAGTGGTTCCTCAAGTACAGAGTTCAGGCTTCTTTTAGGTCGCGGGGAGGGAAATGGGAGGGGTCGTCTGCAGAGCCTAAGCTGCAAACAAGATTCCTGCAAGACGCGCGTGTCTGCAGAACCTAAGCAGGCCTGAGCAGGACAGCGTCAGAGCGAGGCCAAGCATTCCCCTCTGTTGCAGGGGGCGTCTCACGCACAGGCCTGCAAATCCTAAACATTTGTAACCAGAGACAGCCTTCCAAAGAGAATTTTTGGAGAGCTGCTTCCTCACCCTCCAGGAGGGCATCTGGTGTGGTCGGTGCTGCAGGCGATGGGCTGGAGGTCAGCGGTTTTGGAGGCGCTGCCAGCTCCCACTTGCCTCTGCGCACAGCGGGGAGTGTCCAGCTCCTCTACCTGTCCTGGGAGACTCATAAGATCTAGAGTGAAGGGACGTGGGAGGAATGGCATTAGACACTAGGCAGCAGTCGCCGAACACCTGCTTTCGACGCACGCCTACCGGGGCCACAGGAAGCAGCAGGGCGGCATTCCCGTCCACGATCGCCTCCCTCAGCCTGTGCTAAACTCGGCTTCTAATCGCGAGAAGGGAGCTGGGAGCAGACACCTGGCCTTCAGGAGCCTCAGGCCGTCATGTGGCCTCCAGTCCCACCCCTGTGGGAATGCCCACTGGTCCCTTCAGGCTTTCTTTGGGTGGTTTATGTTGGGAAATTCTTCACTGGCCTAAAAAGGAGAAATATACTGAGCATATCCACTCACTGGGCCGCATTCACCGGGAGTGTCTCTCTACCAGGCCCTTTCTGTTGCCCTTGGCCGGGCTTTTCCTGATGTCGCATTGCAAACAGCTCTCAGCAAAGTGGTATGCGCACCGGAGCGGGCAGGCTCCGCACCCCAAGGAGGCGAGAGTCAGGAAGCTGCTTCTAGCCTCTCATTTTGAAGCAAATCAGGTGCAGAGGCTCATAAACCATGAAATCAGTTAGGCCAAGGTGTGTGTAGGTGGCCTGGTTTCCCCCACCAGGCAACGGGCCCTCTCGTGCGTTTCTACTCACTGCATAGTCATTAGATCCACAAAACGCTGGAACACAGGAGCCCTTTTGCGCAGCTCTCAGCACAGAAGCACATTACAAAAGGACAAGAGCTAGAAATACAAGGAAGAAGGTTTAAAAAAGCCATTTGCCTCATGGTGGGTCAAGAAGTCTTACAACCAGAGGCTTGGGAACACCTGGGTTAAGGTCCTGTATCAAGACTCCAGGGCTGATTGGCTGGGCGATGCAGGACCATTCAGACCAGTGGCCGTGGCTCCTGAGTGCCCTTCCTGGGACCCCCTCCTCTTCGAATAGTGGCAAACACGGAAGGAGCTTCATAGGCTTCACTCTTAGGAGCATCTCCCAAGTTATAGCCAAAATCTCGGGAGAGAGAACATTCATTCAAAATTTCTGAGAACCTGATATAAGCAGGTAATTATAATCATGTGGCCCCAGGGCCAGTAAGAGACCCTGGGAAACTGTGCAGACAAAGGGGGCACATGCCGTGGGTTGAGTTGTCTTCTGCAGAGATGTTCCCAAGTCCTAACCACCAGAATCTATGAATGTGACCTTACTTGGAAAAAGGGCCTTTTCTAATGCCACCCAGTTAAAGTTCTTAAGAACAGATCACCCTGGATTCCCTGGTGAGCCCTACGTTCTGTGACACGTGTCACTATAAGATGAACAGATGCGACAGCAGAGGGACGCACGGGAGACGGCCACGTGAAGACGGAGGCAGAGACTGCGGTGACGACGTGATCACAAGCCGAGGACCTGCTGGAGCCAACGGAAGCAGGAAGAGGCAAGAAAGCGTCTGTCCCCAGAGCCTTCGACACTGTAGTCTCCTGCTCCTGGCCTTCAGAACTGTGAGGGAGGACGTGTTCATCATTCAAGCCACTCAGTTTGCGGCAGTTTGTTACACCAGCTGCTGGTGGTGCCAGGCATCCCTTCACCTGGGGCCACGTTTCTCCCAACTCTGCCTCTGTCTCCACATGACTCTTCTCTTGTGTCTCTTAGCACCACACCCCGTGGGAGTCAGGGCCAGCCCAAGCAACCCTGGTGGCTGCGTCTCAAAATCCCTGACCTACTTGCATCTGCAAAGACCC